GAGAGAATATTGTGGTTCGCAGCATTGTTTTCATCTTTTAGAGTATTTAAATGTAATTCATAATTTTGTAATCCCATATGTGCTAAAATTTTTACTGAATCGTCAAACTACACTTCCTTCCTGACTTATGTTAAAATAGTACATTGCAGTTCTAGGGAGAGTTTTTGATGAAACGTCTGATTCAGTCCGACTGCGTGCTGACATCAGAAGGGATTTGTCCACACCTGGCTGTATGGTTTGGTGCTTCTACTTGTTCTAGCCTTGGTGTGTACCAGACTTATTCAGCTTGCTGACCAAAGAATAAACTTTAGTCAGTGTAGAGTTAATTCTTTTTCTGTTGTCTGGGCAAGCTGAATCAGCTCAGTAAGGAGACCAGCAGGCATCAGAGGAAGAAAATGGGGGCGTGCGACTTTGTGGAGTCGCATGTGCATCTGAACGCAGGAATGAGTAAAAGTCAGCAGTGCAAACTAGAAATTTACCATTATTTTCCAACCATGGCTGCAAACTACATAGTTTAAGGATCCTGATGATCATTTAAAGAGGCTGTACGAGTTAGTGTTTCTTGTAAACAGGGCAAAACAGTGCTTTAATTAGATGTAGATAAGCTTCTTGCAAGATGTATTGTTCAAATTTGTGTTTCAGGTGCACAGGTTTCGTATGTGAGAAGAATGGTTACACAGAGCAGTATCTAGCACTGGGAAGAAATATTCTTAACTAAGCAAAATAAAAGGCTAATTTAGTTGTTGATGACTTAAAATCGGAAAAGAGGTCTTTACTGTGTTCTTTAACTTCTGTGCCAGTTTAATTGGATTATAACACAGCAATTAGTTACTAATTTATATGGAAACCAGGTATTATACAGTGACTTGGATATGAGAAGGTAAGATACAAACCTAGAAAACCTGTAAGAATTTAGTATTGCTTTGTGAGTGTAATAGCGGCAATCACTACTTTAAGGGCATGGTTCAGTGACTCGTTTGCCAGAAGCTGGGTAGGTAGGGGAAAGGAAGAAGAGCTATGGTTCATCATAGAAAGCAGCCAGATGCTTTGTACTTGGTTTGAAGAGTGGTGATCGTTGGCAGAGAGCTGGCAGGTATTGGTGGTATAAGGTTGTTTCTCTCTGCTCCTTAGTAACTGAGCAATGGGGTTTTTATTTTGTTGTTTGTGTTCTCTTCCCATAGATAAAGCATACATTGGCCCTGCCATCTCATTTTGAGAGAGCAGTGAGTCTGCTTTTTGGGCTCAGGTCACTTTCAGAACTTACAAATTTGACTTGGTTCATTGAGTAAGTTAGAAGTTGTGCAGGTCCTCCTTCTGAAGGCGGATGTTTTTGGTATATTGGGAGCAGCTAAGTAATTCTTGCAAGAAACGTTATGAACTTCTGCTGTAAGCTCCAACCAACAGTTGCTTTTTACATGAGCCTTCCCTTTTATGCTCTCTTAACTTCTGCTGAATTAAAGGGTATGTGTTGGTATCTAACAGGGTTATCTCTGTGGCTGAGCAATGGTATATGGAGACTTTCTTTTTAGAGCAATCCCTCATTCAAGTACAGCAAGCACTTGTCCTAGAGGAGGCTTCTCCAATGTGATGCTTTGATTAGCGTCTGGCTCTCGGGAACCAAGCCAGAGGCTACTTTGTAGAAATAGGCTGGAAATCGTGATTGTTTAAGGCCCACTTGCCTTAGCCTTTGGGGGCTCTAAGTAAGGGTGTCTAATACAGCATCAAGAAAAAAAGCTAGCAATTCCTGTTAAATATATTGAAGTGCTTTCCGCATCAGTATGCTCTCCTTGCTTGAACAATTGATACATATGTATCAATATATGATACACATATGTATATGTCAATAGAGACCTAGCAGAAATTAACACATGGTTACATTTTTAAGGGATTTTTGAATTCTTTATACCATGCCAAGAAGACATACAGAAGAGTTATTTTTTTATTGGTTCTCCTGTCATCTTCAGAAATAAAGAGGAAAGTCAAGTCAGATTCTGTATAAAGAGCCTCTCTGATGAGCTTTACGGCAGTCTGAATTACAAGTTGCTTCCTTTTTGTGTGTGAATTGTAATGCCGCTGAGGTGTCTACAAGGTTTCTGTGCATTCTTCCAAGATGAGCAAGATCTGATCCTCTACCCTAAGAAGATGCAAAGAAAGAACTCTGATAAAAAGCGAGTAATGCAGCAGAAGACTTCACACTTCTCCCTTTACAAGTCATGTTTTGAGAAGAAGGAAAAACAAAACTTCTTGCTACGTATTCCAAGAATAAGGAGATAAAGTTACTGCATGATCTGTTGTAGCACGTTCTAGCATTACAGGTGCTTAGACTGCATGCTTTCTCATAATGCATGGAAATAGTTCTTACAGGGAGCAGAGTGACAGCTCCCAGGTTTCTAAGCCAATTTTTTAAAATTTTTTTTTAACGGTCTAACTATTGTCGTGAGGGAAAAGATTAGTTGCTGAAAAGATTAGTGTCTTTTGGAGAAGGTAAATTTGCCAAGTATTTTTGAAAAAGCAAATTAAAATCTCTCTACTTGTTATCTCTGTATCCTGTCAATAACTAATGAACACTGAGAAGGACGTATATTGGCTAGATTTTAAAAATTCATTTAATCTTATTTTATCCAAAGACCAAACAAGTTTCTCCACTAAGAATTGTATAGATTCCCTTCGCTACTGTTCTTGGCCATTTTTATGCCTGACTGTGCTGAGTGTATATTAAAAGTATTTAATGAGATTCTTTTTGCCTGCATCACTGAGCCTGCAATACAAATAATACAATTAGTAGAATTAGTAGAGCTGCTTCTTGTTTGCCTGAAACTTGGGCTAGGAGTAGTTTCAGCTCCCCCATGGGAGGCCATCATTTAATTGTCCTAACCCTTTCTCCAGCCACTAAAAACAATCACTTATGCAAATCGGGAGAGTTTCCTACGGGATCTCCTGTGGGAATTAGAAAACGGTCTCACTGAATATTTTACTGTCTGCTCAGTGTTGCTGACAGGGTAACTCTCTCTTCTTTGAGGGCTGGAAAAACAGAACTTCACTTTTAGGCATTTTGCCTAAGTAACTTTCTTTAAATACAAGGCAAGCTTAACAGCTATTTGCATAATACTCATTTCTTTACTCGCAAACTACATGTGTGTTTTGTCTGTCAGTCCAACGATTACACAACAGATAACAGCAGTGAGGGAAGACAAATACAGGAGCGGAGGTATTTAAAAGAAGTTTGTTGATTCCAACTCATCCATCGGCAGACAGATCGCATATAAAAGGTGTATGGTTTTTTGATATGTAAAGAGTGGTTGATAAGTGGGTAACAATTCAATTTCCTTTAAACTGATTCTAGGCTGCCTGTCGGAGAGTGTCCGGCTGATTGGCAGCGGGGGTTGTTTCACCCATACCTCGTGAATAAACATACCCCTGGAGGGCTGGTGGTCACTCAGCTATTGGAAATACTAACCCCCTGTTTTCCCAGAAGGGCACGTGTATTTGGAGAAGAGAGACTGAGACCATGTCATCTGCTGACTTGTGGTTTAATCTTTATTTTGCACTTCCAACTGATAAGACCACTTTGTGCAAAAGCAATACAGGAAATGATGCATTGCAAAAACCAAAAGTGGCAGAAAGGGAAACGCAGTGTACTGGCAAAAGCTCCGGACTGTGGCCACACTTGCTCATTCTTGGAAACAAAAACTCCACTTACACTGAACTTTTTTTTTTATTATTAGTTTAATACTGATGTTAAAATTCAGTGTTGGAGCAGTATACAGCAGCCTGTGGGTTTTTTTTTTCTCCTTTTACTTTACCTTGTGGCTTGTTCAGCACTTGAACCATGCTTAAATTTTATTCAAGCAGGCTATACTTCAGCAGTAGACCGAGACTGTAACTTAGTGGCAGTCTAGATAGTGCTGGTATTTGCAGCTGCTGAACTGCATTAAACTCAAGGATATCTATCTACAAGTACCTGATATACCCTCCCCCCCCCCCCCCGTATTTCTTGCTACATTTGCAGCCAGAGAGATGCCAGCTGTTAAGATACTTCTTTGGATTGCGATCATAAAATATGTTCTGGAACACATGTTTCTGGCAGTGGAAAATGTGTGTGTAACAGGATTCGATCAACGCTAAGAACTTCTGAAAAATCTCTTCCTAGGTAGAGTCTGAGTACTGATGGCTACATCTGAACGTCTTCTTAATCTTTGCTGAGCTTGTACGTTAGCATGTGAGGATTATATTATCAGGCACAGCTGTAAACGTAGAGATTTAATAGACAGGACTTTTTTCCATGGCAAGTAGAATTTGGCCATTTATTTTTTAAAAGCAGTTCGGTGGATATGGTTCAAGTCTAAATGGAACCCTGTCTGTGTTCATTATCAATGTTGACATGAGTTCCTTGGATCTAGATTCAAACTTTGTAATTTCTTTTTAAATTAGAACTTCATCAAGTCTTTTACATGGTTTGGTTTTAATTTTAATAGATGTGAACTTGAACGCAGACTTGATTACTTGTAAGCGTACCACAGGTGTGGAACCCTCATCTTTTTTCCTGAAAGATATATATAAAAATACTCAGAATATTAAGTTACAGATTATTTTTGAGTTGAGAATGTTACTTACAAGCACTTCTGAAGCACATGTACAGGGGTGCTGATAATAAGGCTTTTAAATTAGGGCAGCATTTTAGTAGAGCACTTTACAATGCGTGTAAGCATAAAATATACCTAGAGAGCAGTCAGTGACAGTAATGGAGTTTCAGTTCATTTAGTAGTGTAGCACATGCCCAGGTAACAAAATAAGTTCTTAAATTTGCCCCAGAGTCATGCAAATCTTCTGTTGCATTGACATTATTATTTCAGATAGAATTTTTAGCATAAAAGGAATGGGAAGTACCAGTCCTAAGTGCAGGTAGACGTGATCTCTGTTTTAGTTCATAATCATTATTCACATAAATATAGTTTATGCATCCAGCCTAATAAAACTGAACCTTTGTAATTAATTTTTAGTGACAGATTAATTTGAATCAAGTGGATTGTTTTCAACTTAAAGTACTCCAAGGATATTGATACACTATGTAAACATTATAATCGATGACAGTTTGTTGAAGTTCTCAAGAGGGTAAGTACTATAGCATCTGCAATCTTAAGATTTGTAATTAGTGCATTTTTTGTATGAATAATTAAGTTTAATTGCATTTTTTAGTACAAATATAAAATTCTATCTAACACATTGGATGTACTGACACCTTGTATTTCGTATGTGTATGGTGGGTTTGTTTTGTTTTGTTGTTGTCTTTCTGTTGGTAACAAAAAATTCTTTTCCTTTTCCCTTTTTCACTTCCTCTGCAACCTGTATCCTCCAGGATACATTTCCTGTCTGTCTTCATGCTCTGTTTGAAAAGTGGTGGTTTAGTGCTCTTTGTTTCTTTTTTCCACCCTGCCGGTCCTGGGTCCCGCTTCCCCAGGCAGACACAAGCCTTTTGCCTGCTGTCGGCCTGGACAAGAATGAAGCTCGCTGCTCACAGGCCCTCTGTTCCACGTTCCCAGTTTGAGGACCACTTACCAGAGCTTCCTCCTTCCCACTCCTTCATGTGTTCTTGCATCTGTCTAGCAGGCGTTGCGAGCTGAAGGGTCAGGATGTAGCGGCTGCAGTAAATTTGTGACGTCTTTTCCTTCAATCTGCTTATGAGCTGTGATGGCTTTTAGGTGGCATGTGACAGAGTTTTGCTTTCTTATGTGACCTGAGTGAGGGCAAAGATCTTTCTAGTTTACTTTTGTTCTTTTGGTTGGCCTTTGAAACTCAGAGTAACTCAGAGATTAAGCTGAACTTTTTTTATTTCAGGTTGGGATACGCACAAACTCTTGTGCAGCGGTTTGCAAGCTGTGTCACTTGCAGTTTGCAGAGAGGTGGATAACACGATGCTGTTGGAGTATATAGCTTCCAGCTGCAATTAAAAAAAACAAAAAACAAAAAACAAAAACAAAAAAAAGCTGCCACTCTTGTCCTGTTCCCTTGGAGTGTTTTGCTGTGTAAGGTTCCTACATTTGATTGAGAATGGGGAGTGCCCTTCTCACTTACTCACTAGTGAAAGGTGAACTCTGAGTGACTGTTTAGGGCCATTTTTAATGTTACATAAATTTCTAATATGGAACCTTTACCCTTTTGTTGAGTAGGTGCAGGAATACTGCCCTGTCTTTTGTGTGTTTGGGTTTTGGGTTTTGATTTTGTTTTTTTTTTTTTCTTTTATTGAGCATCTCATGGTACAAATGGAGGACATGCTTGGGCCCTGAGCAGAAGTACTGTTTGAAGTTGACTAATACAGTTGCTGTCTCCCTTGCTGGGTGGCACAAAAATCACTGAGGCCACGCAGCAAACTGGATGAAGGGAACTGAGCTGATGGGGAATTGCTCTTTTAACTCGTTTCTCACCTCACCCTCCCAAAAGCCTACTTTTTTTCCTTTGTGGTTATGCTGGTCATTATTTTCCAAGGTGATCGTCTCATTTATTGTGGACTGTTTTAGGGGGAGGGAACACACAGGCTTCAGCAGGGCCCCTTAACTAAAAGTCTTTGTCAGGCAGTTCCTTCAGTCTAGTTCTGCAGGTTGTTAAGACTTTTGTTGTTGTTGTTATTGTTTTCTTTGTCATTCCACCATTGTTGGGGGATATGTTTAACTGTTGCTCCTTAATTTAAAAAGTAAAATCTCTTTTCCTCTCCCTCTGGTATTCCCCTGTAGGCTGTCAACAGGAAGAGTAAGGAATGAGAAGGTCACTTCTGTCAAGGGGGAATGCCAGCATCGTCTTCTTGGGACTTGAGGATTGAAAAATTAAAAGGAACAGAATTATTTGAGACAAACTGTTTTTAACTGCTGACACAATCTGCTGTATCCAATTTGTGGTGTGGAAGAACAGGACAGTCTCTTCTGCTTGGTCTGTGGTCTCCAGTGTGACCAAGTGGGGTCACCATGAATGTGACAAGTTTATTTTCCTTTACCAGCCCAGCAGTGAAGAGGCTGTTGGGATGGAAGCAGGGGGATGAAGAAGAAAAATGGGCAGAGAAAGCTGTTGATGCGTTAGTGAAAAAACTAAAGAAGAAAAAAGGTGCTATGGAAGAGCTGGAAAAAGCATTAAGCTGTCCTGGTCAGCCCAGCAACTGTGTCACAATTCCTCGTTCTTTGGATGGCAGGCTGCAGGTTTCGCACCGGAAAGGGCTACCGCATGTAATTTACTGTAGAGTGTGGCGCTGGCCAGACCTGCAGAGCCATCATGAACTGAAACCACTGGAATGCTGTGAGTTTCCCTTTGGTTCCAAACAGAAGGAGGTCTGCATCAATCCCTACCACTACAAGCGAGTAGAGAGTCCTGGTAGGTTCTTCCTTGTTTGTACCTTTTTACACCTTATCTAATCTTTGCAAAGTATGACAATTAATCATGTGACTCATCAGCTTAAATAAGCAAAAGTGGCTGTTTGCACATATCAGATTCTTCCTCTTTGATTTATCTGGGTGTAAGCATTAATTAGCGGTTGTCCCTTTGACATGATGAATGTTTCACATGCGTAGATGTGTTTTATCACTATACAGAGGAACAGTCTTAGCTTGATCCTCATGTTGCTGGGCCTGGTATCACCTGCTTCTGTTGGTGGCTGCTATTCCTCCGTTTATTTGTTTTTTACTGAAGTGTGCAGCTCAGCGAATCTGTGTGGAATATTGCAAACTAATGTGAAAGATTGCTGCAGTTCATACATTAAAATGATTCTGACGTACTGTGATTTTTAACTACTATTATTATTTCCAAAGAGACTCTTACCACTTCTATCACTTTTGTTTCTTCATCCTCCAGAAGATAAATATTGTCTTTAGGATCTCCCACAACTTAGGCCCTCTGAAGCAACCGCGATTTTTAGACCACAGAAGATATCCCATCAACTTAAAGTTTTAATAGTAATGTTTTGTTGTTTATGAAGTTTTACTTTCAGGTGTTCTGTAACTGGAGTTTGCTTACCTCTTATCCACTTCCTCGCTTGTAAATTAAAATGCAGCTGATTCTCTCCGTCTCCTCTTTAAAGGCTTGTTAATGACAAACCCCTTTTTAACAGGGTATTTCCAGGGACTAAGACAAAGTATGCTTGAATATATCTACATTAGTCTCCAGCTACTTGTGAGGCTGTACAGACAGGGACATCTGCAGAAGTGTGTATTACGGGTGTGGGTGGACTTCCCTGGTTTAAATTTGAGAAGTCCATCTGTGTTGGACATTTACAAACAGTGTGGCTGTCTCTGCAGGGTGGCACAGATAGTTTAAAAACTACTGTGGAAATAAGGGATTAAATGACAAGGTTGTTGTCCTGTAAATGGGAATTGCGTTTGTCTTGGATCTGTATAACATGTAAGGCATATCTAGATATTTCCCTTTGGTGTTTTAGTATTAATTTGGAAAGCATTTGAATGGCAAAGGTAATACTATAAAGTGCATATTTATGCAGCAGAAGCTTAAACAAAGAAACCCTCTGCACTGGAAAAACAGTTCTAAAAAATTCTTACTAGTTCCATGTTGAGCAGAAGTGGGATAATAAAATAAACAGTTGTGCCTTTGTACTGCAAGCTTTCTGCATGTGCCTCTGCTGGTTTCTTGCATTCAGTATTCCAATATACTGTAGATTAAGATTCTTGAAAAACACCTAGTTCAGTCAGATTGAGCAACAATCCAACTTTTGCTGTTATTGTTAAGGCAAAATGACATGCTCTAACTCATTTTGCTTTTATCTTGGAAACAATTATTGAGTTTGAGAACTTTCTCGTTTGGACCGTTTATATCATATTTTAAAATGTGTGTTTATAAATGTCATGTCACTTCAGTGAGACATGCAGGATAAAAATAGAATCAAACTTTCCAAGGTATATAACTAAAATATATGTTTTTGCTGAGTACCACTAAGTAGCTGAAGGGGTTGCAACGGTGTTCTTTGGATGTTCAGTCATCTTATAAACTGTGTATTCAGGAAACAAAGCTATACGTTATTAACTGTGAGCCTGAATTCTGGATTGCTCTTTAAAGTGTTTCTGGAGAAGATAAAAATCTCTAGAGTGGTGTAGCTACAGATTTTTTGCTGGAAAAAAACCCAGGAACTTAACTGATTTGGAGATGGTAGAAGTAAAATAACTCCCTTTCCTCCAAAGAGTACCCTTTCTCAGGAAAAACTAGATATCGGTCAACTGCTTTATACAGAACTCAGTTTTCTTGCAAGCATTAGGACTATAGTCAGTTTGACAGAGTTGACAAAAGTATTTGGTCATTCATAAGGTCAATGTGCTGCCCTAACCAGTGAAAACATGCTGGAGGTAACTGTGGAGCAAGAGCTAGCTTTCACTTCTCTTTAGATGCTCTGTTAAGTCACAGTCTGGAGGTATAAAGTTATGTGCATGTTGAAGTTCTCTCTTAAGGATTTGTAACAGATTTCAAAATGCGAGAACGGGGTTGAATCCCACGGTGTTTTTACTAAGGTCTCTGGCTGGGTATGTAAAGGACAGATTTGTACTTAATTGGCCATGGGTTTGCCATTGTTTTGAGGGATATTGCATGGAGATGGGTGGGAGAACGTGGCTTTTGGAAGCAGATGGTATCTGAAATCTTATTTGGTTTGGAGATCTGTGCTTCATAAGTCATTATGACTTCTTTTTTTTTCCTGTCCCTTCCATTTTCTCTTTGTCCTCCTCTTATCTTCATTTCCTGACAGTCGCTCCCAAATTCTGCTCGTCATATTTTTCCCATTTTTGCCTAGATATAAAAAACCATCATTGCTGCATAAGTGCTTAACGCTTTGAGATTAATGGGTAGTGGGAATTCATGTATGAGTCACTGTTTCCAACTGTCTACAGACTCCAGCAGATATCAAGGTTTGCATTTCCAAGGCTATCATTGCAGCCCTGAGGGTTAGAAATGTACTTTCTCTTGACAAAACAAAATTGAAAGCTTAGATTGCGTCCATGTGCAGTTTGTGTGAACTATGCAAGTACACTGTGAAATTCTGGCTCTGTTTGACAGCATGGTCAGTATTTAACTCCTTTGTATAGATCCAGTTACTCCACAGCCGAAGTATAGGGTGTGTGCATGGGCTGGAATCTACACATTTCAGTCTTTTTTGTTGGTGGTGGTGGTTGTGTGACTTGTTTCAGCGCAGTGGAAGTTTTGAAGACCTGATTAAGAGTAAATCCTCAAATGCATAAAATCATGTAGTGCTCTAAGTTGGGAAATTAGTCTTATGGCTACTTCTCAACTTTAATAGTGTAAGAGTGATGTGAGGATCTTCTACCTTGATACCTTATTCCATCCTTTATTTAGCTTGAGAAAATCTTAGAATTGTCACATTGTGGTGTATCTGCAAACTGCATATTTACACCTTAATTCAAACAAGAGATTTCTTTTTGGTAACAAGACTAAATAGGAACTGGTTGTGAACAGTAAGAGGAGGCTGAGAAGAGAAGAATCTGCAGCAGTTTCAGAAACGCAGAAGCGCAGGTGTCACTGAAAGCACCGTGCTGCTTGCTCCCTTTGTGTAATGAGGGGAACGTGTCCTCTGGGAAACACTTAGGTATGAACCGGTGATACCAGCCTGATTAAGACCCAGCCTAATTTGGAGGCTGGGAGCTCTGCGCAGGCGCTGGTGCCCGTCTGATCTTGTGGTGAGTTGGTCAAGAAAACTGAGCCATCAGGAAACGTCTTTGTGGCAAGGTGATCTCTGCACACTTAGTGCCCTCAGCTCGCTCACTGTGGAGTCGCAGGCAAACAAGCAGGGAGAACAGAGGCCGTTCGGATGCTGGGGCAGAAACACAACCTGGCGCTCAGCTGCCGGGGAAGAAGACCTTCTCGAGACACGTTACAGTCATGCGCTGCTGCAACTGTTTCATAGGAGGTCCCTATGCGCGCAGAATTCCCCTTTGGGTGCAGGGTAGTTAATGGCTGTCAAATTTCTCTCTTGGCAAGGCAAAGACAAGCTTTTAAGGAAGGAGGGGAGGGTCTGAATGTGATGCCTTTTAAAAACTGGCATGGTTAGCTAAACTGGTGCGCTCACTTAGCTGAAACTGCTTTGTCTCCTCAGTTTCAGTTTTTGAATTAGAGATATCTGGAAATCGAGCTTACACCTGGTTTTTGGGCTCTCCTCAAGTACAATCAAGACCTAAGAAATAATCAGGCATAGGTGTACATAGGGACTGGGAAGAAAAAGCGAACAAGTTGTTCCTGACTTCTCTCTGAAGATATGGGAAATGACCTCTCTGGTTTTGCTAGAGTACTTGTGAAATGACATCCTAAAAATCTCTCCTGAGATACTTTTTACATTTTTTTTCCTCCTTTGTGTTTTTTTTTTCTTATGTTTTATATTGCTTGCCTCTGTCCTCTGTTACGTCAATGGAATCAGGTAAAAGATGTGATCCAGAATGAAAAAAAAATTTTATTTGTCCCTTTTTTTGTTTTAACTTGGATCCAGTTCTCTCTATGCACTTGTACCATTAAAACAAAGGGATGGGATAGAGAAGAGGGAGGATAAAGAGATGCTTAAATTAAAAAGAAAAAAAATCACACCTCTAACATAGCTTTAGGGGAGGAGGGTCGGTTCTCTTGCCTTAGCTGAAGGAAAGGGAAGAAAATGGGGAAATCAAGTGTTTCATTGTCTTAAAATACAAGTAAAAAGAAATTTAGATCCGTGTTCCATCTGTTGCAGAATTGTGTGTGTTTGCCTCTAGCAAGCGTCCTTGCTCATCAGCCTTCTAGGTTAAAGAGGGTTTGAGTTTATAATATGTTACAAAGGAGGCAAAAAAGCCTTCTTTTTCTATGCTTCATTTGTGCAAGCGGTTGAAAGTACAGAGTATGTAAGGGATTACCCTAATCTGACCTCTTCCCCCCAGCAACTGAATGCTGTCCTCTGAGAGTGCGTCCAGAATCTGCTGCTGTCTCTGCAGGGGGGTCAGGCTAGGAAGAAACCTGTTTTTCATTGATCTAAGCTTAAGCCTGGCTTGGGTAATATTTCTTGACGTTCCTTTCTGGAGATGCTAGTTAATGCTCTGCTGTGCTTGAACCATGTAACGCCAGGGAGTACTAAAACTGAGCTCAGAACCAGCTAATCTGTCCTCTGAAAAACTCTGGTTGTGTTGGTCGGCCAACTAGCCCATCCACCTGGAGGCAGAAAATGACTAGGCCAGTTCCGTTTTTTGTAGTTAGCAATGAAGTGTGGATGATTTTCCTCTCTGAGGCTTCTCTTCCCATTTGGAGAGCCTGTGGCAGTCTGTTCTACCTCAAGGAGTTTTTTATGAGGCCGATAGCGCCAATGTCCTACCGAAACGGCAATGTGAGCAATGGCTGCTTTCTCA